ACTTCTTATAGAAATGACAGCTGTCAAAAAGTTCTCACTTCAGTAGTGGCTCTTTCTTGCACTCAGTAAAATAACAAGGAATGGTGACATCCAGCAGAAAAATTCCTGTTGGTTACTTAGTGATTCAGAGTGCTCTATTGTGCTGGATGAACCTATTGCATTGAAAATCAGATTTTTGCCAATAATGCATTGTATTCAGTCTCCTTTGTAATGCAATTTTCATTACAAAAATAATACATGGAATGCCAAAAGACAGTTATAAATGGCCCACTAGTCAATCATATTGCATGTATGCTCTGATCCAAGGGATTGGGTTGACATCACATTTTGTATTCATTCTTCAGTATTTTTTGGAAAATTACTGTTGAATTGTTTCAACAGGCATCTGCTAGTATGTCATAAAACCTACAACACCTAAATACTTTAAAATATTAACATAAGAGTTGTTATATACCTCCTACATGTCTATACAATAAATTCTAGAATTATGACCCATTCATAACTTTTTAATGTCAAAACAATCTCTGGCCCTTGCTATTATGTACCAAGAAATTAGTTTCATGTTTCAGAGCACATTTCTAAGCATATTTACACATGTTGATTCACAGGTCCTTCTGCAGAAAGTTATAATTTATTTTTCTTGTGCTACATAACTTTGTTCCCAAGTGTAATATCACAAATCAGCTTATTTAATGTCTTTTAAAACCATAAATATTATTTAATTTTTAATTCATAAGTAAAACTTTTTTTTATCACTTTATGACCTAAATTTAGGTTCAATTGATACCATGCTGCTGTTAGTTACTTTAACATTGTGTGCAAATCTTCTTTGAAAGGATGATAATATTTTGTCAATCCATTTAAGCACGACATAGGTTTTACTAAACCAGTTCTTTTCAGTTAAATGACATGAAAAACAGTCGGCAAGAATAAAACTGAAATACACAATCCTAAACTAGATTTTAAATGGAATAAAAACATAAAAACTCTGACATGAATATTATAGATATAAATAAATAGAAAATGAGTTGGATAATCCAGGACCAAAAACTGAAATATAAGTACTAAACTACTTAATGGTACTGGTTGAATGTTTTACTTCTCATCTTGAGGAAATTTAAGGCTTTCCTGGACTGACTGAAACTAAAATCCTCCTTTCTTTCAAGTAATCCTAATAATAACTGAAAACTCATGTTCTTATTTCCACTTAACTTACATAAAGGTTAAGATAGGTTAACTTACTACTCAACATGGCTAGACCAAACAGCTTGGTTTCATTTAAACCCAGGTAATTGCAAACTTCTGCAAGCAAGTCCTGTCCTTTACTTGAAACCTAAAGTTCAATTGCATTAATGAATAGGTTAAAAGCCAAATTTCAATGACAGAACATTTCATCTAACACTTGTATCTACTGTTCTGCATTATAAATGTAGTTTTATAACATCTTCCTTTTGTACACATCTTTATTAACACTCTTTCAAAGATCATGTTTGTACACATCTTTATTAACACTCTTTCAAAGATCATGTTTGTAAACATCTTTATTAACACTCTTTCAAAGATCATGTTTCTACACATCTTTATTAACACTCTTTCAAAGATCGTTTCTGCACACCTTTATTAACACTCTTTCAAAGATCATGTTTCTACACATCTTTATTAACACTCTTTCAAAGATCATGTTTGTAAACATCTTTATTAACACTCTTTCAAAGATCATGTTTCTACACATCTTTATTACATTGCAGTAACAAAATCATCAGATACATTTTATATACTACCACGTTTGCCTTTTAAGAGTTACTTCTGGTATCTTCCATTTACTTAAGTTGTAGCAAATAACTATCAATTGTGCTACACAAATATTTTTATACTGTAACTACTGCACAGTCACTGTTTATACCGTAACTACTGTACAGTCACTGTTTATACCGTAGCTACTGTACAGCTACAGTCTGTACTGAAATTACTGTATCACTGTGATGTGCAGCTAAATCATGTGTTTGTCTTAATATTGTATAAAATCCGAAAAGTTTTATTTATTTATCCATATATATGCACAATGGTCATGAAAGTTGTTAAGTTCCTTTTGCTCTAGCTACCCATTGTTTTATGTCATTTATCTGAGGTACCATCATTGTGTTCCTATAAGAAAGATTTCTGCTATGTGTGAAAGTAGACAGCTATCTTTACCACAGGCAGGTCAGCTGATATCTTGAGTATATAACCTCCCTTATGTTTCAGTGGGAATGACCAACAGTCACATGGGTAGCATTATTGTTTCATTTGTATAATGTTATGTTCTCTTAGTCTGAACGGATTTTTGAGATTTAAATAACTTATTCAGCTACTTCAACAGAGTCTGATAAAGAACTCTTTCTCTCCAGTATAGTCACTGTCTCCTGTCCAATAATTATACACATCACCAGATTGTATTATTGAATAAAAATTATTTGATTGCGTTTTTATATTGTGTTCAGTCTTTCTTTCACAAACTCAGTCAGGTTCAGAGAATTCAGAATTACTATGTAATATATCTATATAAATAAAATAAGAGTTTTGTCTGTACATTGCTTAGAATAGTGTACTTTTTGCACATCTTCACGTTTCATACACCAGAGAAGCCGAAACAAGCCTTATCTCAATTTCTGTCTGTCTGTCGGTAACGCTCGCGGACGTGTTTTTGTTCGCTTTTCGCGGGAAAACGGGTGCACTAATTTTGATGAAACTTTTTTCTTTGTTTAATACATGTGTAAGAAGGTTATAGGCTACTTGAAACTGTCATACGCCTTTTGGAAAGAAAATGGCGGCCGCTCAAAAACCTGCTTTGATGCGGTTTTGGACGTGATTTTGTTCGCTTTTCACAGGGAAACGGGTGCACTGATTTTGATGAAACTTTTTTTCTTTGTTCTATACATGTGTGAGAAGGTTAAAGGCTACTTGGATTTTTGGAATTCACCTTAGGGCTCCGCCCCACGGGTCT